TTTGCACTGCTTACCTGAGTCTTGTTCCAGCGCATCGCAGTGCAGTTCTTCCCCTTTGAACTGTGCAGTGTCGTGTGCCTACCCACTCGTGGACAAGACTCACCCACTCAGGACTCAGGTCCATCCCACTCGTGAACGAGACTCACCCACTCAGGACTCAGGTTAGTCCACTCAGGACTCTGGCCCACCTATTTAGGAATCCGACCCACACACTCAGCACTCAGGCCCACCTACACAGCCCAGAGTGTCCAAACCACCCTCTCGTCCACCAGACTGCAGTATCGGGCCACGCCTCTGACCCACAGGTAGGCGATAGGAGGGTCCGAGTCCAGAACAGCCGCTGGCCAGAATGTTCGAGCTCGTGCTGGAAAGCCTGCAGGGACCTGCAGCTCAGCAGGCTAGAATGAGTTCACATTGCCTGGGTGGGGAAGCAGAACAGCCCCTCACAGCCAGGTGGCGCTCTCGTTCAAACCTTTCATGCAATCAGATAATAACCACAAGCGTGCCCCCCCCGGGATTCGAACCCACGACCCTCCAGCTGACCCCCCACTGCCAGGCTGCGCACAGAGCCACGGGCTGCGGACGCGTGACTCCGTCGTCGGAGCGCGGCGTGTCCAGTGAACTGCGGAGTGAAGAAACCAGCGGAGCTCCAGAAGGGTGTTAGCCATTTTTAATGATGTCAGATCCTGAAGTACAGATTTTCAGTTTGAGCTGATGTACATTACACAGCAAGGAACAGTGCCAGCCATCATAAAGGACAGCTATTGCCCTTTTCATTCCAGAGTTAGGGAAACCCCAAATATAAAGTTAAGTGGTTTTAATTAATATAAAAAGTACAAAAGAGCCCCAGAAATAAGTGCATGGTCCACATGCACAGTAATACTATATTCAGTGCAATATATACTCATACAATTAAGGCCAACGTGTGTAAGGTAGAGGTGAGCCAGCAGACCCAGTTTTAAACGGACGCCTTTGTCTCCCATTCCTGAAAAAAAACACACAGAGTCCCACCGTTAGAAGAGCCCATGAGTGTCACACCAGGATCCCCGGAGGATCGAGCTGGCCAGTCCTCAGCTGGCACCTCCCCCCGCCCACTCCACTGCGTGCACCGATGGTGGGCATCTCAGTCGACACGCAATTCAGAGGAGGACCGGCGCACGTTTCCGTTCCTCCCCGTCTGGGCAGCAGGAATGCTGAATCCCAGACTTCACAAGAACGGTTTCAAGACGAACCGCAGCAGGATGTTCTCTGGCAGCAGTGGGAGTGGACAGCACTGGCAGCTCCTTGAAGATGCCAGAAATGAAACGGCGCGCCCCGTTATCTTGAAACCGCACACTGCTCAGGGTCCCGGTGTAACAGAGACCCCCACCTTCCCCGAGCAAATGCTGCTGTTCCGTATCAAGCGTGAATTTATTTGTATATTTTTGGATATTTACATCTTTTTAGTTGCTTGGCCCAATTCTTGCAAGTTGTGTTTCTTTTTGAAGGACCCGCCACATGGGGAGAAGCACAGGGGTGCAGGTCAGAGTTATGTGCTGCCTGTTCTGACAGCCTGAGCAGGAGAATCTCTACACAGGGCACAGGGGTGCAGGACAGACACAGCTGCCGGAGGTCTGGGGCAGCCTGCAGCCCGAGCAGGAGAATCTCTACACAGGGCACAGGGGTGCAGAAGGAGACCTGTCGCTGTTGGCGCCTTCCTTACAGAGCCAGCGGCACTGGCGGTTCACCTCCGGTTGCTGTCGTCACCTGCAAGGTGGGGTTTTCTGGGTAATATGTGAGACAGTAACTCTGTCAGGCGGTAAACGTGTGCCTGCAATCTTGAAACTACAGAGACTAAATGAACCCAGGCCACCCACGCAGGACTCACTTCATCCACTCACGACTCACCCATTGAGGACTCAGGCCTGTCTATCCCTACATCTAGGCCACCCACTCAAGAATGAAAAGGAAAAACACGTAACTCTCTGGGTGTCAAAGAAGTACCACTCTGCCCCTACACACACCAGGCTTTGGAGACAGTATAGAAAGACAACAGCCGCCCCGTCCTCTCAGAATAATGAATCTATTGGCAGATATGAACCTGTTCTCTCTCTCACACACTGGTGCTCGCAAGCAGAGAGCACTTGATCTCAGCCAGAAGACCAGACATCTACAATCCAGCAGAGCAACTTCAACGGCAATGCACACCTTCCGCTTGTGGAGAGCCTTGCCCTTCTCCAGGAAGAAGGCGGAGGGCACGCGCCTCAGGGTGTTTTTTGCAGAGGCGGTGCGTCTCAGCAGAGGGGTGAAGAAGCCGCCCTGAAAGACAGACACCGAGAGTTAGCTGGGTGAAGCGAAGAGCCAGCCTTTCAGGCACAACACGCCGCAGAAACGCCCTGTTTTGACGCCACGTTCCCAGCAATCCTATGATCCTTCTTCATCTCCTTCCCCATGCATCAGGGATCACTGGTGTCCACCACTGCCCGGCTTGCCTCCTGCAGATCCACCATGCTCTATTGCACTCCCTGCTGCTTCCTCGATGATACGGCTCTCGGCTTCTGCGATTATGAGTTTGTAGAGTTTGCAGCGAGCGGGTTTTTGGGAGCCCATATTTTGTTTCTAATTCAGTTTGGGAATATCAGTTTGTTTTGTTAATTGAGGATGGGAGGGGGGGTGGGCACGATACATTTATTGATCTATGCATTGGTTGAGGTAGTGATTTATTGGAAAAAATAAAGCTGATCTAAGACTTTCAATATCAGTTGGAGCTGGGACGGGCAGGTTGTGCATTGGAAGCATTCGGAAGGCAAGCTCAGGAATGATTCCGGATGGATTTGTGTACTGCTGCAGACGTCTGCCATCTCAGTGGTAACAAATTGCATTCCGACTCGGAGCAGCCTTTCAGATCCGGCCAATTCCAGAATGGGCCAAATAGCGTCCGTGTAATGGCTATCTCCCTCTCCCCCCGTTTTTCCGGGTGTCTGTTGGGATTATTGCTTCTGATGCTCCACAGGCAGAAAGTGGAAAAAGAAGGAAGCAGGAAAGCTGCTGGAGGTTTGTGTTGCTGGGGGCCCCACTGGAGGGAAAATTCCTGGAGACGACTTGAAAGTTGGGCTGTTTGGCTCTGTTCAGAGGGATCTGCTGTAAAATCATGCTCAATGGATTCCGCCTTGTGGTTACTGCGTCCCTCAAGTTTGACATTAAAAAGCAGTATAAAATCTCACATTCCTTTGTGCTCTTGAAGAAGAAAGACACAGCCAGCATCTGCTGTTCAGATCAATACCTTCTGTTCACCCTATCTGAACTAGAGCTGGATACTCTCTCTGCGGGCAGCAAGGCTCTGTGACCTCTGTGGCCTTCTGAGGTAAGTGTGTCCTTCCCAGACAATATCACACCGAGGTCTAAAGATTCGTTTTCCGTATTTGAAATTGAAATCGATATTATTCCGCGTTCCCCCTCAATCTGCAATCAGTTGTTATTTTTCTGCATGCCCTCTCAATCTGCAATCAGTAGTTATTTTTCTGCATGCTCCCTCAATCTACAATCAGTAGTTATTTTTCTGCTTGCCCTCTCAATCTGCAATCAGTAGTTATTTTTCTGATGCTCCCTCAATCTACAATCAGTTGTTATTTTTCTGCATTCCCCCTCAATCTGCAATCGGCAAATGTAGAATCAGCCCTCACAGACTTCACTTAGAAATAAGACGATGCGCATGTGAAACTAAACCCTTGAACAGTGGCTTCCAGCCCTGCAGGAGCAGTATTTGTAAACTGGCTGTCATCTATTAAAGGCAAATATAGGGGCTGGGGAGGGGTATGAAGGATGTCATGATGAATACATTGTTGTTCTGAAACCCTTAACAACATCCTTTTCTGTCAGGAGCTCAGCCTGATTAGGCCCAGTAGCCAAAACCCAGAACCACGACTAAACAGAGTAGGGCAGGAGTCTCCAGTCTTCATCCTGGAGGTACAGTGCATCTCCAGCAGGGATTCTCAATACAGGTCCTGGAGGTACAGTGTGTCTCCAGCAGGGGTCCCCAATACAGGTCCTGGAAGTATAGTGCGTCTCCAGCAGGGATCCCCAATACAGGTCCTGGAAGTATAGTGTGTCTCCAGCAGGGATCCCCAATACAGGTCCTGTAGGTACAGTGTGTCTCCAGCAGGGATCCCCAATACAGGTCCTGGAGGTACAGTGTGTCTCCAGCAGGGATCCCCAATACAGGTCCTGAAAGTATAGTGTGTCTCCAGCAGGGATCCCTAATACAGGTCCTGGAAGTATAGTGTGTCTCCAGCAGGGATCCCTAATACAGGTCCTGGAAGTATAGTATGTCTCCAGCAGGGATCCCCAATACAGGTCCTGGAGGTACAGTGCCTCTCCAGCAGGGATCTTCAATACAGGTCCTGGAGGTACAGTGCCTCTCCAGCAGGGATCCCCAATACAGGTCCTGGAGGTAAGTGCATCAACAGCAGGGATTCCCAATCCTGGTCATGGAGGTACAGTGTGTCAACAGCAGGGATCTCCAATCTGAAACAGCTGTCTGTGGCTCTTAAGGTCCTTTTGCTTTCAAGAGACTTGAAAACTCAGGAGTGGAGATCCCTGGACTGGGCCCTCAAAAGTGTCAGTCTGACAGCAAGGAGGGGGTTTTCCTCACTTGGGGAAACTGGTCTTCTCAGGAAGCCGAGGAGAGTACTGTAATGTCGGATTCACACCATACGGATGCCATACGGATTCACACAGTTCCCCTAATTCCTGGAAAGATGGGAAAAAAACTGGGAGCTAACATACTACGCCTGGCGGGGAAAACAAACTACGCCTGTCCTCGATTTTTCTTCTGAAGAAATTGCAGTTTATCCCTTCGCGAAGCATCAGGGTTCGAGAGCCTGCGGAGCTCTGCCGCTGGCGGGATCGCGGCCCGTACCTGCGACGCCGGGGAGTCTCCTCCAAGCGCCAGTGACTGCCGGAAGGGCGTGCGCTTGGCGGCCTTGCCCACGCCCAGCAGGTTCATCTCCGAGCCCGCCTTCAGCTGCGCCCGGGTCCTGCTGGCCAGCTCCAGCCTCTGGATTTCCTGTTCCAGCTCCGCCGCCGCCTTCCGGCCTGTTTGGGTTGGAGCACGAGAAAGAGAGGAAACACCCTTAAGCACCGTGAGAAAAGACAGATTTCCGCCGGTCTCCCCTGGTAACTCCAAATCTCCAAAATAACCACTAAGTGGCAGCTACGGGGCCCCTAAATCATGGAACGACCTCCCAAAACACATAAGAGATACCCCGACAGCCTCCGGCCTCAAATCCAACTCCCTTCTTATTTCTCTAAATCCTGTTTTCCTTGGTCTAGGGCTGCTGAAGATCAGAGGGTGTTACATCATGTTAATCACCTTCAGCTGGGGTCTTCCAGCCACTTACTGTAACAACCTTTCCCATGTTTTTATTTTCCCACTGCCTGGATGGATCTCGGTGCTGGGATTCAACGTTGAGCATGCATATCCTATCTGCCTGTGACAACAGAGCATGAATCGATGCACTCAAGATGGCAGACCTCGGAAAAGTCAGCTACTTCCATCAGATAAGACAGACGACAGGCCCAGGACAGGTGTCTCAGTCCTTAGTTTTGCAGACTGTTCACTCGTGATCTATTAAAATTAATGCATCACTAACTCATTGCTTGTTTGGGGGCAATCATCAGACTTGGGATCCCCAGAGGTTTCTGTCACTGGGAGTTTTCCTCTCCTGCTAGTTGGTCACCTGTTATAATATTGTCACCTGCGGTATAATTCTATAAAGCGCTCTGTGGCTAACTGTTGCAAAGGGCCCTATAACAAATAAAAGATTGATTGACATCACGCTTATGTGTAACTCATCCTCTGCACTCCCCTTTGTAGGGGTTAAAAAATGGCGCACGTGTGTGCATGCATCCCTCCCCGATCTTTAACTAATAATACCTTTCACCTGTTACTGCATTGCACGCAGAAAAAAACTGATATTTGGAATCACAGATTATTTTTTAAATCTGTACCTCGTTCACGAACGATGGATGGATTTATACTTGAATTGTGCAACAATGAACTTGGATAATTCATAAAAAATTAAAATATCTTAAAACCATTTCCTTATTTTGAAAAAAAAATTCTCCAACATCTGCTGACAATCAAAAGATCCTTATTCTAGAATAAGAGCATTATATTTTAGACTACGTCGATCCATCCGTAAGATAAAACCATTCTGGAAAGCTCTGCTTACAGATCCTGCAGTGAGCGCTGCCTATTTATTGGGACACTATCCACACAGATGTGCAGCACACATGTAAAATCAGAAACAGATGCAGAGTGGAATTATTTTTTAAATAAAACCTCATACATGTAAGAATGCTAATAATATCCATAGCAGAGCCACACATTCTTCACTAATCATATGTTTCCCACCAATGGGCAGCGAAAGCTTGCTCTTTTCATCACACAATTCTGGTTTTCTAACTCCGTTCCCAGACTTTCGGCTTAACAAAAGAAGTATGCACTTCTCTTTCACATGATCCAGTGCCCTCAATGCTCAAAACTCAAAATTCTTTCCCATAGCCCCCCTTTTCTCATTTAAACAAAGTTTCTAACACTTGCGATCATTCGTTATTTTTACTCTGTTGCTGTTACGAGCACTTGGGAAGAGTCACCCTCTTATCAACTTTAATGTAACAGGTTTAGAACAGTTTTGGTTGCCTCAACACACAAAAAAAACAATTTTCTTTGGAATCACCCCAGTGAAGAGCAACCAGATACATTCTGGAGATTAACGTATTGCCCTCCACTGAAAGGATAAAACAAAATGACTCACAGAGAAGACTATGAGCTGATCTCATCACTATTTGAAACCCTCAAAGGAACTGACAAAGCCAGCCTAGACCTGGGACATTTTCCCAGCCAACAGTAAAGCAGGATCCAAAGCAGTGAATTTGACCTGGAGATGCATTTCAAACAGGAGACGCATCTTTACACAAAGGGTTGTGGGAGCGTGGAACAAGCTGCCCAAGTGTGCTGTTGAGGCTGACACACCATTGCTAATTTCCAGAAGGGGCTGGATGAAATCTCCAGATTATTGAAAAGCCAAATGATCTAGAAGGTCATTTGTAACTTAAAGGGTTGTGGGAGTGTGTAAAAACCCATCAAGCCATGTGGCTGAAGGTGATAGTTTGGTTTCCTTCAAGAAATGGTTCGATTAGATCCAGGAATCATTTACCTGCTAATTATCAAACAGACCCCCCGCTGTTCGATACCTTTCCCATGTGCGCTGCTCGTTGTGATAACAGGTATCGGGGGAGCCTCACGGACACTTACTCTTCCTGATGTGGCAGGCGAACAGCTCACTGTTGCTGTAGGTGCTCATATCTTTGGTGGGCACCACATCTCCCTGGGAGGCATTCTGAGAGTCCTGGACCTGAAAATTAAAAATATACATAGGAATTAAAAATCAAACACCATGCGAGTTTCTAACTTGTCCTGGAAATGGTCAAATAAAAAACTATGGACACATGTGGCTCTACTGCATGGAAATGAAGGCCAGGTGTGCCTTCAGAGCAATACAAGTGTGTCTTCACCCAAATACAGGTGTGCCTTCAGAGCAATACAGGTGTGCCTTCAGAGCAATACAGGTGTGTCTTCAGAGCAATACAGGTGTGCCTTCACCCAAATACAGGTGTGCCTTCAGAGCAACACAGGTGTGTCTTCAGAGCATTACAGATGTGCTTTCACCCAAATACAGGTGTGCCTTCAGAGCAATACAGATGTGCCTTCAGAGCAATACAGGTGTGTCTTCACCCAAATACAGGTGTGCCTTCAGAGCAATACAGGTGTG